TCGATGCGCGCGCACAACGACACGAACGAACGATTTAACAGGATGAAGTTAGTCGATGTTTATTTCTTTTTTTAATTTTTATTATAAATGAACCTATTCATATGTTAAATTTTGATTTTAGAATTTATTTTCGTGTAAATTACGATGCCAAAGTATTTGATTGATGTTTTATATTTTTATAATTTCAAATAAATGTCGAATAATAAATTTACTTCGAATTTACGTTTTAATGGTGGGAGAGAGGGGAGTGGGATTATAATCGATTTGGCAAATGAACGAATCAAATATTCACGATTGAGAAGTAAAAATTGTATAAGAGAAAATGATAAAAGACGTTTCATCAATTATATTATTATATTGAATGATTATAATTGAAATTTTCTCTTCCGTCTTATTGATTTTTTTTTTCTTTTTTTCATCTCACGTTCCCATATTTTGTCACCGAGAGAGGAGACACAGATGTTGGTTGTGTACCGTCATAGAGTCTAAATCATCGACTTATTCGACGATAAGTTTGTAACAGCTCGGCTTTTACCCTCCGTCAGGCTCGTCAGAGATAATCGGTGTAATTTTTCCCCGCCAACATTTATTCCTGACGACGACTACGACGATGAGGACGTTGCTTCCGGAAAATGAGCGATTCGTGTAAACGAAAAAAAAAAAAAAAAGAAAAGAAACAAAAAAAGAAACAGTCGAGGCCCGATTCCCACGCGATACGGAATTACACGTGGCTTCTGTTAGCTCATTAAAATCATATTTACCTCTTTCCGTATACCTTGAGACACAACGACGACGACAAAGAGACAACGACAACATGATGTCCACCATATCCGGATTGTCATCACGACGATTAGATAAAAGCATTCAATGAAACTGCACCTATTCTATCTTAATAACCAAAAGAAACAACACTTTTCTTTAAGATGTGGTTTTACACCATAGGTCAGGTAGGGATATACATACAGGTTCGGCAACGATTCGTCATAATCATGAGAGAAAATCGAAGATAGAAATGATGATCTATCTAACGTTTTGCTATCATTGATTTTGTGCAAGAAAGAGAGGCCATTTATCAACTTGAAAAAGATCAAATAATTCTTTGGTCCATGAAGTTAAAAGAAAAAGAATAAGAAGAAGAAGAAGAAGAGAAAAGAATAGAAAGATGAGAAAGAGGTGGAGGAGGAGGAGGTGGAGGATGAGAAAAGCAAAAGAGAAGGTAGAAGAGAAAAAGCATAAAGCTGGATTCCACAGGAATAGGGCAAATAAGGGGCTCGAATCAAGGCCCTCGAATCACAAGGATGGAGGATCGCATTCGTATGCAGTATGCATTCGGCGGAGATATTAAGGACAAAGCTAAGATTCCTGTCACCCTTCGCTTCCTTCGGACTTTAAAAAGGGAGCTTCAGCGGTGAAGAGACAGGGAGGTAACAGGTGGCGTGCGGGACTAAACGGACTCCTCTCTTCATCCCGAGTGCCTTCAAGCCACTTTGGCATCCTCCACCTTCCTCCCCCTTCCTCCCTTTTCCTCATCCACCCTGCGCAACGCCGGAGATCAACACAAAAACTGGCTATCGAGCCATCCCGTCTGCTCTCGCAAACCTTTACAGAATTTCTCTTTCTCTTTCTTTTCGTACATTTCATTTTATTTTCGTTGATTTGACTTAGAGAAGGTTACACCGTGTCACTTTTACGTCTCTTTTCTAAATTCTCGAATGTTTAGTGAATAATTGATATTTTATCATTCAGTTGGTTTAATATATTTTATACTTGTAATATGGGATAAGGGGTTGCATCAGGGTTGCATATTTATTATGATCGAAAATGTATGAATAAACATAGCAAACATTTTTTTAACTTATATTGAATCTAGGAAAATAAAATAGGAGTAGGATAAGATTTGGTAGAATCGATTCTCTTTTCAGAAAGAGAGTGGATTAAATTACAAAAGCAAAGGACGCGGACTCGAGACGATTATTGCAGTGGTAGTGTAGACAGACAGACACTAGTAATTACCGTGGTTTCTCTGAAAGCAAACGATACCTTTAACAACCGAATTTGCATCGAGATACCGATCAGACGAAGAGTGTAAAATAAGGATTCCTCGAAGTAAGAGAGACTACCCAACCCAACCCAACGGGAGGGAGGAGATTTTAGATTTCCGTTGGGCAATTAGCGGTAATAACGACGTTGGTCTACGGGTTTTCGAGTGGGATTGTATGTATTTCTCTTTCGATCGATGTTAATTGACATTGGTAGAGTTCAGTATAAATGCAGAAATCACTGAATTCAACCAAGAAACATCAAGAAAACAGAAATGAAAAAGAGAAAGAGAGAGAAAAACGAGCAATCACCTGTCTTTTTTTTTTTTTAACCCTAACCGTCTTAAATTACCAAACGATTTTTATTTTCAAGGTTCTACGTGGATTTGAAAACAGAATGGTGCATACGGGGTGTTGTCTTTTAACACAAATTTTGACAAAACTATTATAAACGTTGTTGTTTGAAATATCTGAAAATAAAATGATTACATTGAATCGAGGTTTAAATTTAAATGCATGTGTGTACTTGATAAATTTTCAAACTTTGTTTTTACTTAAAATAAAGTAAAATTTTGTAAGAAGAAATTGTATTTTATACATTTTTACATACAATTAGTATTTCGTTCTATGCTTGGTTGCTTGCACCACCAATTGCAGGACACCCAGTACATTTGATCGATCGATCTTCTTTTTCTCTTTTCATCCTTAACGTTAATTCGTCCTTCTCGTTCCACTTTGATATATATATATATATATATATACACACACACACACATATATCTATCTTTTTCTAAAGAGAGAAAGAAGCAGCACTTTGATGGAGGACATCTCGCCGCTAATTATGATTAATTTGCGAGAGCCCGCGGTCTTGCGAAGCTAGCCAGCAAACCAACCAACCAACTAACCAACCAACCAACCAACCAACCAGCCAGCCAGGAGTCACGTGAGAAAGAAAGAAAGAAAATGAAGGTGAAGAAGAGAAGCTGGAGAGGATCAACCACGAGAGAACGTAATTAATACTCTCAGCAGGAGCGCGTTGTAACGTCATGCGTACGTCATCCAGGTGACTCTTATGTCGTTGTTCGTTTTCACCGTGAATTATCCTTTCTTATTTCTGATTCTGACTTTTCCCTATCTCGAGTACTGTATATATCCTATCTCTCTCTTACTATCTATACTCCATTTTCTGTTTAAATACACGAACAAGTAAATCGCGTAGATTTTAGTCGAATAAAAAATTTGATCAAAGGATTTTAATAAATTTTGCTACATAGATCTTTTCAATTTGTACAATTTAATGAATTAAATATTTTCTCGATCATATTAATTTAATTTATTTTTTTTATTATCTTCAGATACCATGAAGACAAATTTAGATAAAAAGGTAAAAGACGAAGATGCATATTTAAAAATTACTTCAATAAATTTTCATAGTTTCAATCCTAACCGAATTAACGAAACAAATTATCAATCTTATTTATTTTTCAAATTGTTTTTTTTTTATATATACAAGAACAAATAGATAAATTTGAAATTAAATAAGAACATTATTAAGTGAAATAAGTAAGATAAAGAATTTGTAAAGGATTTAGACGTAGAACTGTTCGATCCGAACGATTAACGAAAGAACGAACGATCCCAGTACCCGCCTAGTAGCCAGAACCACCATAGCCACGGTGGATTTTAATAAACGGACGAGGCTGCTGCTGCTGCTGCTGTTGCTGATGCTGCTGCTGCGGAGGTGTTTCGCATGGTAGCTGGCAGGACGACGCGCCTCGAGAAGAGGTTAATCACCCGCGTTGGATTTTAATAAACGGTTCGAGGGCAAACAAAGCTGGTCATCAATAACCGTGGCTCTTTCTTTCTCTTTCTCTTTTTCCCTCCTTCCCCCATTTGTTTTCCATCTCTCTTTCCCTTTAACTTCTCGCTGCGGACCACCTCGCCAGGTGAGATGGAAAGAGAGAAGAGAAATGAGAAAGAAAAAGAATGAGAGAGAGAGAAGGTTCCACTCTACGGACGGTGAAGTGAACGGGGAAGACGAAGGGAAAGGAAGGGAAGGAGGAAAGGGAAAGGGAACGGGCATGGCAGGGCCTTTGCCACCAGCTTGTCGAGACTATACGGACAGTGAGATAGGCGGAGATCGTATCTCCGTGGTTATTAATTAACTGGCGAGAAGGGAAGGCCCCCTTTCATCACCTCGCAAACGATCCTCTCTACCTTTGGTAGGTCTTGCTCTTGCTCTAGCCTTAGGGATATACCAAAACTACTTTCAACCAATATCTTTCCCTTCAAATGTTTCTTTTTATCAACAAATTTTTATCATAGGTGTTATCCAATTATTTTTATGAAAATTCGTTCAACCTCCTAGTTCATTCTTAGCACGTTCCGTGTCAAGCCCTTTTTACCTGACTTGTCACTCAGGCTATTTAATTTTGCTTTAACAAAATCAACCATTATACATGTAATTATTAATTATTGTAAATATAACAATTAAACAAACTTACGTGCTTTTTTCTATACTGCATTTTGTATAATGCATCATCAATATTCTGATAGGAATATTTTTATACAGAATTAAATTTGTTATAAATATATATTTTCAGCGCATTAAATAAATATGTCTAATGGTAAGTGTACCACCGGTGGTACACGTGGCCTAAAGAACAAGTTTAACGTGTATCACCGGTGGTACAGGTTGCACGGAACGTGTTAAAAAAATATCTTTATTTAATTTTAGAATAGTATCGAAAAGATCAGTTGATGAATTACGTTCTTTTCCTTTTTTTTGTTATACTTTGGGTAAAAATAATTTTGTTCATCGACAAAAGAATAAGAAGAAGAAGCGGGAAGAGTTAATTTTAAGATTGTTCAATCATTTTGTTTTTCTTTTTATACCCTGTATTATGTTTTTTTTCTGTTTGAAGGGTTAATAATTATACTTTTTAGGTTCAAAGGACTTACCCATTGATGGAGGTGCGACTGATGAACCAAGAGAGGGCCGATCTCGCCAACGAATGCCAAGCTTGCAGTGGTAAAGATTCAGACCTCTCGGTGGATCTCATCAAGAAAATCTCGGTGGCTTCATCCGGCTGGTCCCGGCAGGGACCCGCACCCAGTGGAACCCATAGCTTTAGCAAATCGTCTCGGATCTTACTGCTGTCTACCTTGTACCACTACGAAGAAACATCAACGTCATTCGATTCTTTTCTCTCTCTCTCTTTCTTTTTTCTTTCATTTTCTTTTCTTTATGTTTATTTGCAAGGATTATTCAACAAAAGAAAAGATACAATTATATTTAATTATATTATTCTAATTTTTGTATTTGTTAATGAATTAAATGTTCAAATGTTCGAGGCAGACATGTTTAATTGTGGCTATCAAAGGATATATACAAACACACAAATAAATAAATAAAAATTTTTAAATAAATGTGCAAATAGGATTTTGTATTGCAATTGCATATAACAAAAACTAACAACACAAAAGATAAATTAAAAAAAATATTTGATAATCATTTTAGTTGTATGCACGTGTGTCAGACATTTCAGATATGTCTCAGCTTTCTAAAATTTCAGGAATAATAACTCATCGTTATCGATTTTGATAATGTCGGTATTTTCTTAGACGAGTCACATTTTCGTAGTGAAAGACATCGCAAAGGCAATTACGTGTATCTTTCTCTTTCTTTCTTTTGAGCAACAGCAGCAACAGCAACAGCAGCAGCAGCAAGTCTACTGGAAGGAGCATCAAGCTGTTGAAGAAAGAGAGAGACAGATATATCCGATTTCACCGTCAGCTTCCGAGAATGAGAACCAATTACTTGGCCGGAGGCATTAAGGAATCGATCTAATTTGCGCGGGGTAAGCTTCTCTTCACTCTTAATGGCGCGAGCCGCACGATGAAATTATACGAAAATGTAATCAAGGGGCTTTTTGTCTCGTTTCGCTTCGAGGGCAGGGGCGTAATTAGGAATGCTTTTGCGCCTCGCGACGGGGGACACTTGTTGCTCTTTCTTTCTCTTTTTCTTCCTCTTCTTCTTTTCTTTTTTTTTCTTTTTTTATCTTTCATGTCTTTCGTCTTGCCGCGCGTGTCCTTCTTCGTGGTCATTCACGGGGACAAGGAACGTCTGAAGGTGGAAGGTAAAAGGATGAATGAAAAAAAATTAGAAGAAGAAGAACAGAAAGAGGAAGAAGAGGAGAAGGAGGAGGTGGAGGAAGAAGAAGAAGAAGAAGAAGAAGAAGGAGCAGGCCACAGAAGGAGAGTAATTAACACCATGGCCGGCCAGGTGCACCGGTTTAAGAAGTCGTTTATGGGGTCGCTCGGCAGCGCTAAGCCAGCCACGCCAAGCCACCGACCATCAATTAGATTCTCTAATTAAAACAGTCCGCCTCTGCAGACCACGGAGAATTAACTGTGACGAATGCGATACTCCGATTGGTCGACAATCCACTAAGAGAAAACGTCCTGTCGATTGCTTTCTCTTATTCTCCTTCTCTCTCTCCCATTTTTTTATTTCATTTTTTTTGTTTTCATTTAATTGTAAGATCAAATCAATAATAGATAATAATGGTAATCCTTGTCTTTATTATTACGATTAAAATATTGATTAAAACATTTTTACGCGTGATTATAATAATAATAATAATAATAATAATAATAATAATTATTATTATTATTATTATTATTATTATTATTATTATTAGGTCGTCCCGAAAATTTCTTTCTAATAATATTATATATTATATTATAATATATATAATATATAATATAACTATACTAAATAAATTATAACTAACTAACTTACTTAGTTTTATAACTAACTAAATTATATAATTTATATATAAGTATATATAATATAATACATAGTTATATATTACAATATAATGTATGTTATATATTATATTATATTCCTCACAAAATTACTAAAAATCAGAAAGAACTTTTGGAACGACCTAATATAATATATCGTCTAATTAATGTTGACGATTGTATTTTTATTTATTTTTTGCTTATTCTATTACTTTTCTGTAATCGTAATTAATTAATTGTCTACGTAGAAGGAAGAAGAAGAAGAAGAAGAAAAAGAAAAATTGATAAAAAAATGTCGGAGTAAGATTTGTTACTATGATTGAAATTGACAATGAAAAATATTTCGTTAGATAGAAGAGAACTTAGGAATCTTGATTTCTTTCGCCTTCTACCAATCGATGGTTAGTAATAGTTCGATGATAAAAAGATTCTCCCAACGGGGAAGGAAGCAAAAGGGATTTTAATTACGAAAGGCAGCGTGTCGCTAATTCCAGCCTGTCTTTCCAGGCTGCCTGCTTGTCTCTTCTCTCCACCATTCGTTCGTCGCACCTTGATTCGATGTTTTCGCCATTTTTTTGTTTGTTCTTTTTGTTTTGTTTATTCTATCTCTCTCTTTCTTTCTTTCACGGAGAATTACAAATGGCTACCGACGTGGTCGCGCGCTGCCGGACAGCATTCCTCTTTCTGTCATTAGTGGCAACTTTCCGTGGCGCTGAGTAACGAAAGAAAGAAAGAAAGAGAAAAAGAGAGAGGGTGAAATCGTCTCGTAGAAAGAGAAAGAGAGAAAGACAATCTCGACGTCTTTACGCACCTTCCTTCTTATAGTGTTCATATAGAAACGTGTGTGTGTGTGTATATATATATATATATATATATATATATATATAGTCTTTTCTCGTCTGATCCTCTCGCACTCTCGTAGAACGAGTAGCCAACTCGGAAATCACAGCCATCTAAATCAACGTCTCTCACCGGACTCCGACGACTTTGCTTCAAATGACTACCGATCTTTGCGTAGCTTCTCACTTTACTTCACTGTCTTTCACAAAGACTACAACAACAACGACGACGACGACAAGTTTAAATTTCGCACCGATGAGATCAATTTCTTCTCATTGCTTTTAGAGCAATCAAAAGAAAGAATTTTTATTTATTAGACTTTATTGGAAACAAGCAAAAAGAACACAAAAAAGACAGTAACGAGAAAATAAAACAAATGATACGATCAATTTAATATAATTTTAAAATTGATTGTGTGTGTGTGTGTGAATATTTGTATTATACGCACGCGTGTATCGTAGTTTTAATTATTTACGCGTACGGGTATCGTAATTTTAATTATTTTAAATTTATATACAAATAAAATAATATTTTTAGATAGATAGGCAAATTCAGAATAACCATGTCGTGGTTTAAAATTATTATATATAAAATTTATATATATATATTTTAATATATAAAAAATATAATTTTATATATAAATATAAACGGTGTTTCTTTAATTTTTATTACACACTTGTCTCTCTATATAATAAATATTATAATTATATGATAAAATATTATAATATAATATATTTTAAAAATAATATTTATAATTATTTACAAAATAATTATATTATAATAAAATTATTTTCAAAATTAATTTGTACGAAACACTATGAAAAACGATACACCACAGGTAACGATATATATATAAGGTATCTATCTTTTCTTTTTTTTTTTGTGTTTTTATTTTATAAAACATATATTTATTATATAAGAAAGATCCACGAGAGAATTTAAACGCGTTGGATATATAAAATAATTATTCTACCAATAGTATTGTAAAAAAAAAAAAAGTCAAAACGCGGATAGAGAGAATCATCGAGCCATCTAAGGAGCGCGAAGAAACCAGTCGTAAGGAACGAAAGAGGAGAATTGTTGGATAAAAGGGGGAGGATAAAGATGAGGAAGAGACACGAACAGCAGAAGAAGGTGGAAGAAGAGACGGTAGAGGAGGGAAGCAGAGAAGGAGGAGGACGAACGATCGACTTTTATCCCCGAGATCGGACGAGTTCTTGCCGTGTTGCAAATAGTTACGTTTCGGTGGATCAAGAGCACGTTTCATGAATAACGAGTTCGTTAGGATTTCTAACATTTCAAACGCATCTCATCTTGGATGCGAACGAAAGAAACGAGGGGTTCCGGTCCCTCTATGTCGTTCGTGTGGAGAACGCGAAGAGAACTCGCTCGAATATTAAATCATCCTATAAAGAGAAAGAGAAAGAGAGAGAAAGAAAGAACTATAGTTATATATATATATATATATACATATATCAGAAGCTTTGTTCCTTCTTTTTAATATATATTTATATATGTATGCATGTACATACATACATAATCGATCGTAGAGTATACATATGTTCGATGTCTTCCATACGACACGAAATAAATCATGATTTTTTTTTCTTCTTCTTCTTCTTCTTCCTCTTTTTCGACGTATATTTACGTATATATATATATATATTATTTTAAATTTATTATATATGTTTAAAATTTATAATATTATATTTAATTTATAATATTTATAATATTATACTTATTATTATATATTTTAATTTATAATTTAAATATTATTATAATTTTTTAAATATTAATTAAATTAGATATTTATAGATTTAAGTTAGAATTAAATAATAATTTAAGATAGAAATTAAATATAATAATTATTATTATAATTAAATATTATATTAATTTAATTATAAATATATTAGTAATTATGAGATGTACGCGAATGGAATGGTAAGTTTTAAAACCTATAGAAATAATTTAATTAAAAAATAATAAAATAAACGTCTTCTTATCATTATTGTTGAAATTCATGAACTTGCAATTTATTATTATTTTTTTATTATCGAGAGTTCAATTTTTGTCAATGTTAAATTCTATATTTAAAATTCACCTTACAATCTATTCACTTTCTATACTTCGAAATAAAAATTGTTACATACGTGTCACTGGGGATGTAATTATTTTTTTTCAAAAGATTTTACGCGAGATTAATTATCCAAACAAAGTTTTGGTTAACATAAACGGGGTGAGGAAAAAAGAAAAATATTATTACGAACGTACAATTACGTATTTTGGTTATTTTACTTTCGGAATGTTTTAAGGAAAAGGCACGTGTAAACTGAAGCATAAAATGGCTAACATAAGTCGTTTTTTTTTTTCTTTCTTTTTTTTTAAAGAACGACGTCTTTGGAGTTTATGCTTTCCGCGAGGAATACTGGGGATGTTTGGACGGTCGTACGTCGAGCTCTTTGGATTCCAAAGCCGTGTAGGATCGCGAGTCAAACGCATTCTCTTCTTCCTTAGGCCATTATGC